CTCCTCCAGCTGTTCCACACTGCTCCAGATATTTCTGAATTGATATTTTCGACCAAGGCTTTCTTTTTTCTATATATAGAGGCCATATCTCTCATATTGCAATGTTAGCAAAATTTTGGGAGCCTCTTTCTCTAAAAATCCTCTGTCTCTCTACAATTCTCTCTCTCTAGATTTCTCTCCCTCTTGTCCTTTTGTACATATAAGTAAAGATGCACTTCTCCTTTGCCTAGACATCCTTGTTCAAAGTGGTTCATCTTTGGACTGAGGTTGCTTGAAGCTCTCTTGGAGCTTCCTTTGAGCTCTAGAAGGTGGTTTAAGCTCAGATTTGTGCCTATTTTGTGCTTTGCTTCAAGAGGTATAACCTTTACCCTTTAAGCTTGTTTTTCATACTTGTTTTTGCCATCTTTTTATACTGTTTTTGGAGTGGTTTTGAACTGAAAAAACTCTGTTTTTATGGTTTAAAAAATGATGGTTTGAGGCTATTTTGTGTTAAGGGATAGTCTACCCTTCTTGTTGATTAATTATGAAGCCTTTTGTGCCATCTTTTAACATACTCAAATCAAACTTTTTGGGGCTTTAAACCACTGAAATTCAGATTTATTTCAGTGGTGGAAAACATGTTTTGAAGTCCAAAATTGAAGGGGTTAGCCTCCCCTCCTTGTGTCTTACTTGCATGCCTAGTTAGCATCACATGGTAGCATGTTTTTGTAGCTTAACTTAGCTTATTTTCAGTATATTTTTGCCTTTGTTTTGGACTATTTTTGGTCTATTTTGGACTGCTTTGGTCATATGAGTCTTGTTTTGCATAGTTGTAGTGCAAATGGCTTCACTAGTTTGGTGTTTTAGGCCTTCAAACATAATTTGTTTGAGTTAGTTGCATGTTGTAGTGTCTTTTTACATGTAATTTTAGCATATATAGCTGTGTCACAAGCTCATTTGTTTCACTCTTTCATTGCCTTTGAGAGTTGCTCTTGTGTCTTGTTTGCAAGCCTAGATAGCTTAACATGTGAGCATGTTTTTCTAGCATTTTGTATCTTAATCTCAGCATGATTTTGCCACTGTTTTGACTGGTCTTAGCTCTGTTCTGAGCTAGTTTGGCCCTTTGAGGCTTGTATTGTGTGGTTGTAGTGCAATCTCTTTCACTAGCTTAATGCTTTAGGCTTTTAAACATGAATTGCATGAGTTGCTTACATGATTTAGTGTCATTTTGCACTCCATTTCAGCACTGAAATGTCTACAATCCCCTTCTATTCTTCACTCTTTCATTTGTTTTGAAAGTGACTTTGAACCCCTTGTTGGCTTGAGCGTGGAATTGAGACCCTCATGCCTAATGCTTTAATTCCTTCAGGAGTTCATTGCCAACAGCATGAGGCCTCTTTCATGCTCAAGGCACTTGTGGTTTAAGCCTATTTTCAATTGTAGGACACTCACTTTTGGACTAATTAATTAAAGAATGGATTGGTAATCTAAAATGAGTAAATAAAATGAACAAAGTAAAAGAGGCAAGATTAAGCATCTTTGTGTTGCATTGCATGTGTTCGGATCGGATGTTAATCCGAACACGAGAAAAATGGGACGTTTCATACTCAAAGTGATGAAACATGCCACTTTTCTTAGTCACCGCCACCCTTGATCATACATGATAGGGTGGTGGTTGTTTTTGTCTTCTTTGTGTACTCATTGAGCTTGTACAAACTTTGCTCTCTAGCCATCATGCATTGAAAATACTTGATTAATGGTTTGAAGGCCAAGAGTTACCCTCCTCTGAGTTTGTGCGATGATAAGGAGGGCAACAGTACACACATTCCTTGAAAATACATTGATTTACCTCTGTTTGCTCTCTGTTGCAGCAAAAGGAGAAGTCTAGGGATGGGGTGGCCGACCGGCTAGTTTTAGTGGCCGACGGCCACTTGAAATGGCCGACCGGCCAGTTGAAGTAGCCGACAGTCACTTTTTGTAACGGACCGGCCACCAATGAATTTTTGCACAAGTGTGCTCCTGAGTTGGAGCAGAGGCATTCTGGGAGTTGGCACAATTTTCAGTGATCAAACGAGTGCAAACAGAGGCATCCGATGGCAAGGCAGTGGCATTTTCGGGTGAAGTAACCGAGCATGCATGCCTCCCTCGCCCTTGAGGCCATTTAATTGCCTTGATTAATTAGTGTAACTAATTCTTCAATTTCGGTTTGTAATATTTAGCTAGCTTAGAATAGTTAGTTAATTTATTTCAATTGTTGTAATAATTAGCCTAGAATAGTTAATTAGTGTCATGTTATAATAATTAGCTTAATCAGCGTAGCTAGTTAGCCTATTCATTCGGACCCTCCTTCGCGAGGGCACAATGTTGTAATAAGTGTGCATGCGTGTGTGCATGTCTTTCAATTCCACGTCTTTCTCCCTTTTATTTAACCGCTTTCGATGGTTAGTTTAGGGTCATGTTTCGATCAGCATACCTTATGCTTGCATGTTTGCATCATTCATTTGTCTTGCATTAACCGAAGCTCGGCGCATCATTCAAACTGCATTTTCAATACTTCTTTGAATACGTGTTTAAAAGCATGTTGTTCAAGTTGCTTTGTATGCCATATTAATAGTTGAGCCTATTAATTTCATATTGCATGTGTTGCATTAGGCATCTTGTATAGTTAGGATCATGCATTTTTCTAACTAGTTTTTGTTTTGGCTTGGAGTACTTGGTGAGTTTTATGCTTTAGCATACTTGCATGAGTGTGATTGCCATATTGCCATGTTTCGCATGCTTGCCATGAGGCTATGTGCTTAAATGCTAAATTGCATGAATTGCTGTGGATGAAGGCTTTGTTGTTTGAATTGGAACGATTCAACGAATGTATGTTTTAAGCCCACTTTGCGAAGTGGCAAATCATGTTTTAAGCCCATCATGTTTGATGGCAAATTCGCGTTTTAGCCCACTTGAAGGTGGCAAATTCAAACCATTTTCGAAAACAAACATGAGTTGAAATGTTCTAATTCTTGCGATTTTAGTCTATACTTGCTTGTGTGCGTCACATAGTAAAGTTAGCTAATAACCGGAACAAGAACACATAATGTTTATAAAAGAACATATCATGATTAGTAGAGGCCGATCTTTGATCAGGCGAGCGGGGGTGCTCATTTCAGGACCTTCCCCTTTCGTACCTAAGTTCTCGAGCCGAGGCAACTTTGGTGATGACGGACACGTGGCATTTAGCACGAGTCAAGGTTTCCTAAATTTTCCAAAAATAAAATATTTAGGTGGCGACTCTGTAATCTGGCAAAGTAGTCTAGTTTTGGCATTATTTGATTTAAAATCGATTTTTCAAAATGATTTGCCTGATTGGACTCTTTGGTGATTATCAGTTTCACATTGCACTTGTGAGACTAGATTCAGAACCGCAGGTAGAGTCCGAACTATGAGGGTCTTCTTTTCAAACCCCTTTCCAAAAGGCGGGGGCGGGAAAAAGGCGAGCCCACAACTATTTTATTATTCTTGGCTTACCATTTCATTCAACCATACTTGCTATTTGATCCACTTATCACTTTTTTTACACTACCATTCAAATAAACCTCACTTACTACCACTTCATTAGACTTGACTATCACTGAAATAAACCTCACTTACCACATCTTTAAACTTGATTTACCTCTCAAATAACCTTATTACCATTCAAATAGATTCTACTTAATATTTCATTATTTTTGGCTTACTATTTCATTCAATCATACTTACTAATTAATGAGACTCCACTTACCACTTTTTTAAGCTTCACTTACTATTCAAATAAACCTCACTTATTATTGTATTAGACTTGACTTACTATTCAATCAGCTTCCACTTACTATTTTATTACACTTCACTTACTACTCAATTTTGGTTCCACTTACTACTTCACTAGACTGCACTTACTACTTAATAAGCTTTCACCTACTATTTCATCACACTTCAATTACTACTTAATGAGCTTCCATTTACTACTGCACTAGACTCCACTTACTACTGAATGAGTTTCTACTTACTACTCAATCAACTTTCACTTACTATTTCATTACACTTCACTTACTACTCAATTTTGGTTTCACTTGTTACTCAATGAGTTTCCACTTATTCCTTCACTAGAGGCCTTATCATGCAATGGTTGTGCTCTGTGCTAGTAGTTGAATAAAGAAGTGTAACCACCAAGATGCTTCAAGTCAGGTGCTTTTTAGCCACCAACAACTTGTGTTTCCGTTCCCTAGATGAGATCAAGGATTTTTTCCATTAGATTAATAACAGTCCGGTTCGGCCTGAGCCTTTCTTTGAGTCAGCATTCCCCTCGTCAGCATTGGAACTAAACTATTTTTTCAAAAAAGTTCTTAAGAGCTGTCTTTGAAACACCCTTTAAACAACCCACAAACTATTCCAACTGGCGGTCAGAATTTCTTCGAATATGTCCTTGAATTCATTCGAGATGTGAGTAAAACCCAAATTGGAGAAAAATATGGTCATTGGGTTCCCTTTATTAGAACTATGTTTCTATTTATTTTTGTTTCGAATTGGTTAAGAGCTCTTTTTAACAAACTCAATCACTTCATATTTGCAAATATTTCGATTGTGTTTGATACTAAGGATGCATGAGATCTCTAGTTAAATGTTTCAATTCTCTTTTACGATCTTCCACCTCAAGATATTTAGATTGTCGATGCCCTTCTTTTAAGCAAACCCATCTCCTCGATATAGCCATATTACTCTTGTCCTTATACAACTGATCCCTTCAAATACTAAAACCTTTCACCTTTGCATACATATTATAGAAACTTTCTCCATTTTCTACCGAATCAAATGTCATTTCAAATACATGTTTGTGACGCCCCAAATTTTTTTTTTCGAACATCAAGGGAAATTAAATAAACAAAATGACTTAATAAACTAAAAAGTTGGCATCTTAATAGGGTAATCCAATTCTCGTACATAACCAAACGCCCAAATAACAATAGATAAAAACTTAAAATTATCCAAATACAACATCAAACCGAATCAAATGTCATTTCAAATACATCTTTTTCAGTTAGTTGATCCATACAGTTTACATCTCTTTCGATTGGGAGATCATCAGAATTAACAATATTCTCTTGATTGCTAATGTTGTATTCACCAATTTCAATATCATCATCATCATCATCATTATGTAATTCATAAGTGGTGCTGTTGTGCCTATCTATAGTAAGTATAATATAATTAATTAGATAAAACCAAATGGTGAGTGATAATACAATAGGTTAATGAGACTCCACTTATTATTTTACTAGATTTCACTTACAATAGTAACCTTCCACTTACTATTTCATTACATTTCACTTACTTCTAAATTAAACCTTATTTTCTATTTAATGAGACTCTACTTACTACACGTTGATACTTTACTTACTAAGTGGTAAACTGGTAAGTGGTAAGTTGAGTCACAAAATGTTATAAGTAGGGCTTAGCATAAAAATTGAAAAAATCGTAAATCGGTCTAGTCTAGAGTAAACAGTACGATTTGGATTGGTTTTCTCACTGCACAGTTCAGTTCTGATTTTTTAAATAGGCGAACTGTACTTTATGGTTCAATCTGTTATTTTATAGCTTTCTTTTTCTTTTCAAATACACCTCTGTATATTATATATGGATAAATAAGAGAGATTCCTAAGTATATTTATAAATAAGAGATATTCCTACAAAACTTCTATTTATGTTTCAAAATATTGTACATATTAAATTTGTAAAAACATATTCATAGCCAATCATATGAATTTGTAGAGGAAAAAAAAATCATTTCATTGTGGATTTTGAATTCATAAAAAATTATGTATTTTTCAAAATTCTTAAAAGGTTGGTATATGAAATTCATATAAAATTTTTTATTTTTATAAAATAATTAATAAAATGATGTGAATTTTAAATTTTAAAACAAATTTAAAACTTACTTTATTATATTTATTTTGGTATTTATAAAATTTGATAATAAATTTATTCCCAACTTTCTTAAATAAAATAACACTATACATTTTATTTCTTACACTTTATAGTGTGTCTTAAAAAATCAAAAATCAAAAAAAAAAAAACCGATATTTAAAAAAAAAACAAAAACAAAATGTGGAGTGAAAGTAGTCATGTTAAAAAATAATTAAAAAATTTATACAAAATGTAGAGTGGAAGTAGCCAATATAGTGTGTTATCAATTTAGCACAAATTTCAAAATATTACTTGTTACTTTTTGAACCAATAATCTCTTGAAGGTGTCATTTTCAATAGTAAGTATAACTTTATATAATAATAAGTTCTCTTATATTTAATAGTAAGTGTGTCATGTCGCAATAGTAAACTAATCTTATAAATATTTTATTAAAAATACTCAAAACTATCTTGTTTGTGGGAATCTACCTTGGTTTTCCAAGTAAATATTAATTATTTACTCATCAATGGTCAAGATAGTACCATATCCAAATCCAATGGTGAATATTTATTCATGTACCATACTTCAAAACTACTTTTTTGTATGATAAATTTTCCGTAATAAGTTGGTGGGGTTTGCCCATTAAAAGGGAAAAATAATGCTTTAATGAAAGTGTTAAACACTCTGTAAAATTTGTCAGTTGTTAATGTGTTTGTTAACTATCCTGAAAGGGTGAACACACGAAGAGTAAACCACATTGTCATTTTTCTAGATCATAAGTGTTTTAAAAACTCATGTTTGAATGGCAAGAACAAAGGTGCAGAATGAGAATCTTATGCCAAGTATCTTTCATTTCATTGTTTGGTTGTGTTTAAAATAAGGATGCAATTCCTAGTTTGGTTCCCAAACTGGAATGACATTACACCACTAAGGTTGTCTTTGGTTCATGGATTTCGGTAGCGTTTTGGAAAGAGAAAGGGAAAGGGAAAAGGAAAGACTCATAAAATGATTTACAATTTTAAAATATTATTCTCACATTAGTTTTATAAAATTTGATGTATGAGTTTTTTTGGTTTATTACTAAAAAATTTCAATTTCAATTTCAATTTTATTTTTTATTTTTTTATAACTGCGACAGGTGGTTGCTGAGGCTGATACTACAAAGTCCAAACCAAATACATATCGTGACAACTTTTAATTGGCCTATTATATCTGTGCGTCACCCACCTGTCACTCATTACATTTGATAAGGTCAAATTCATCATTTCATAGAGAATAATCTCTTCTGGCATCTCATATATGTAAGGCACAACTTGAGGACTGAAGATTCCAAGCATCTGCTTTGAGCTGTCAACTGAAAAAGAAAAATAAAAGAGTCCTCAACATCAGAGGGTGCAAACAAAAAATGAACCTTGGCTCTTAGAGAGGGGGGAGATAGAGTAACCGTGAGACCAGTTTTCCAAACAGTGTTAATGTAACTTAGGCCAGAAACAATATTGTTGCTGACCTGAATGGAGAATCTCATATGGTAACAGGTGTTTTCTTTCAGTGTAAACCACACGCCTTTGGGGTCCTCATTGGCAGGAATCTCAAAAACAAGATCAGATCGACCAGGACAGAGGGCAGTAAGGCTCAAAATCTTGACATTTGGTTCTAGAGTTTCTATAATATGGAAAATAGAACAATCAACTCATCCCAATTGAAAGCAAAACCAATCCACACTTTGTTAAAAACAACATCAAGGACTAAGAGATTAGTAAATTTTGTCAAGCCCAATTCCTCATATAGATTATCCCATTTGAAAGTACACCAATCAACCGAGTTAAAAACAACATCAAGGACTAAGAGAACAGTAAAATTTGTCAAGCCCAATTACTCGTATAGATCATCGCAAATTAATGAGTGAAGGGCATAAGATGTTGGCTGAAACACCAAGATAATACTTGAGTAACAGTCATAGTTCCAATCATTTTTACGACAAGCCCCCTCCACACCCCCTTCTCCAAAAATCAAGGGAGATACACACAAAAGTATATATATATATATAAAATATTATTTTAAATAAATAAGCTAAACAAGATTCACCCAACTCAAACTAAATATTTCAGACAGAGCCTTTGCATTACGGAAATGTGAAAAGTTAGAAAAAAAACACAGATTTGCCATGTTATGAGCTTTCCCATGAAGATAAATATATGGGATGAATGTGCAGAAAAGGGCACATGATTCTCTGTCCAGAATAGTTGTCCCCATGTTTCCAAATTCTAACCCTATAATTATCTCAAATTATTGTGTTTTGAGATTCCAACCACATTGTGCGGTTAGGAATGCATTGGGCATAAGGGGGACAGAAAATCCCTGGCAACAGAAAAAGAATCAAAATTGAACACAGTTAGAAATTTGTAACCATTGTTTGTTTTTCCTAGGTGAACATTAAAAATTTGAAACCATGATCACAAACACAAACAAGAGCACTAGAATGGTTAACTTCTTTCTTATCATAGCAATGCTACAAACCAAGAAAAAATTTGATGAAAATCATCTCGAAGCCGTTGCTGGTCAACTAACTTAGCTTCGAGACTATTTTCATGAAACATTTTTCCTGATCTGTAGGATTTTTGTTCTCATCACGTTTGACAAACACATTGGAAACTATTTCTATCCCATTCAAAAAATGACTTCCAACAAACAGTGAACAATTGAATAGATTCTAGGAATTTTGGTATAGGATCTCGTGTCCCCGACTCCCCAAAACCCCGGTTCCCTGTCCCAATGTACTTCTAGCCGTACCATATGTTGAGAATCTTGAGACACGATTCTGTGGCTAAGAGTTTGTTGGAAGTAAAAGAATTTTTTTTTCTCTCCTGCTAAGAAAACATTCATTCTTTAGTTCATTTCTAAAAAAACTTCAATTGGTACATGCAAGAAATAGGCCAATTCAGCAGCTTTTTGTTCAATTTCTTGTGGAGTAAAATTCTCATCAGTACGAGTTAAAGGAATGGCCCCCTGGCCTTAGATTTCCATCTAAAGAACACGACAAACATAAATACCCTCTTTAACTTCTATTCTAATGGAGTGAATATATTCTTTAAGAAATCAGAGGTGAAATGGTTATGATATCATAAGCTAGATCACAATTAGCAAAGTTTTTATTCATGAGACTGTTTACACATCAATTAATGGTTAACAGACAAGTTACCAACATAGATTAATCAAGATTCAAGAGCAACAAAGTACCTTCAACCCTTTTTGTTCAATTTCTTGTGGAGTAAAATTCTCATCAGTACGAGTTAAAGGAATGGCCCCCTGGCCTCAGATTTCCATCTAAAGAACACGACAAACATAAATACCCTCTTTAACTTCTATTCTAACGGTGTGAATATATTCTTTAAGAAATCAGAGGTGAAATGGTTATGATATCATAAGCTAGATCACAATTAGCAAAGTTTTATTCATGAGACTGTTTACACATCAATTAATGGTTAACAGACAAGTTACCAACATAGATTAATCAAGATTCAAGAGCAACAAAGTACCTTCAACCGCATTGACATCGACACTGCCAAAAAGCTGTTCTTTCCACCGTCTCAAACTCTCATCATCCTATACCAGCACAGAACCACAAGAAATTCAACAACACCAATACACAATTTCACTTTTGTTTCAAGAGAAACAAACTAAACGAACCTTGTCTTTTTCAAGATGCTCTTTGATACTACAAATGGGACCCAATTGTAGACGAGCTTCTTCTTCTTCATCCTCCTTGTTACCCTCTTCTTCATCCTCTGTGGCATAACAAGAAGTCTCACTTGGCTGTCTGCTATGACTCTGTATTGTTTGGGTTGGTTTTGTTTCAGAGGTGACATTAAACCCGTTGTTTGAAGACCTCAAAAAATAAAGAAATGGGCAAGAAAAGCAATAGAACAGAGAAAAGGCCTCACAGACCTTCAAACAAACAGATCATATGCAATGTAAAGAAATTGGAGAGAATGAGTGATACCCAGAAAATAAAGAGACCCAGAAAACAGTGAGAGTCAAAGAATCCCAAGAAGGTAATTGAGAGGGTAATTTGTATAGCCAAATTGGGCCGAGCTAGGAAGCATTGTTTCTGAGTATTAGGCCGCACTAAGAGCCGGGCTATGGGTCGGAATAGGGGTGATAGCTCGGTCTTGGGCCAGGCTGGTTAGCTGTGACACTGAGGCTTGGACCTAGCTATTTAAAGGAAGTTCTGTAGCAAACCGAGGTAACATCAATGATGAGTGCCAAGCTATGTATAGCTTGGCAGGGTGGCATTCGATAGATCGGCTTCCAATCAAACGGTCCGAATGGTAGGGGACCGAGATAAGGCATCTCGGTCAGGAATGTATAACCGAGCATGAGGGAGTGGCCATCTCACTTGGCTTGCAGTGATGAGGGTGTTTTAAGGATAAACATCATCCTTGGGCATAAGACTCCTAGGAGGACTCTGCTAAGGAGAGTAGAGTCCTACTAAAATTGTGCAAACCATCTCACTTGGTTGGTAGTGAGTAGGGTGTGTGATTACTAGGAGGACTCTTATAAGGAGAGTTTGAATCCTACTAGGATTGGGCCAGGCCAAGTCTATAAAGCTCATAGCAGGACGTATGGACAGGTATCACAATCACAATTCTTACTCTAGAATATACAGAGCTTATTGTCTATTATCTAGTTGCTGACTTAGGCATCGGAGGGGTTTCCGGCACACACCCGTCGGTTAGCTCGCGTTTGTGTTTTCAGGTGGCAAAGCAACGTTGTTTGGAGGAGTGCAAACTTGATCAACAGGATTATATGAGAATATTATTTCGTGCTCGTACAATTGGTGCCATCTGTGGGAAAACACAAAGAACAAAACCTTTTGATCGAGTTTTCCTCTTTAGTTGAAATCAATGGCGCATAACGAAGACTTACCACATTTTGCTATTGATGGACAAACCCCGGGAGGGAGCACAAGATGCGAAGGCTTGCCTTATGTACCACCTATGACGGAATTAGATCCCCAATGACGGAATCCACGAAGAGAGGTGCAAGAAAGACGGGGCTTAAGTCTTCATCGCTCTCAAAGCCCTGATAGACAGAGTCGGATGATGGATCCTCAGGTTCTGGAAGATCGCGTAAGGGAGCAAGACGAAGTAATAAGAAGAATGACGGCTGACATGGAGACTATGAAGCGCCAGATAAAAGGCAAAGGGGTGGCAACAGAAGAGGGGCACAAAGGCAACACGCGCTCTTACCACTCAGAAGATCGTGACAGACAAGTCACACCATCACAAGCTGAAAGTAGAAGCCTCAGGTCAAGCAATACGCAATCGAGGACTTCTAGGACTCGTTACTCCAGGTCTGAGAGGACGAGGACTGAAAGGTCTTACACAGAAGGAAATAGTTATCGGCCCTCACATTCATACCAAACGACATCTAGGCACACGGAGTTGCCTAGGTCGGCGGACCTGCGGACAGTGCTTGAGGAAAGGGCTTGAAGAAAAGAAGACACTCAGACCCCCACAGAATCTCCGCACTACGACGGTTGGCTCCTAGAACACATGAGAGTGTCGAGGTAGGAATGCCAATATCGCACCTTGCATACGAACCAGCAGATAAAGTACTAGCAAGGTTACAGAGCTCGCCGTTCATTCCGGCAATAGAGAACGCACCATTACCCTTTGGCTTCCACCACCCTAAATTCACTATTTATGAGGGAAAGTCAGACCCCTACATGCACTTGAGCCACTTCTGCCAAATTATGGCGGTGTATCAGCGAAACAAGGCTCTAATGTGTATCATATTTCCTTCCAGCCTTGGTGACCTGGGTTTAACATGGTTTGAAAGGTTACCAAAAGGTAGCATAGCTTCATGGACGCAACTAGCAGAGGCATTTGTGACCAGATTCAGAATGAACACCAAGACGCCAATGGAGATTAACCAGCTTCTCTCCATAGACATGGGTGAGAAAGAAACATTGAGGTCTTACAATAACCGGTATTGGGAAACTTTTAATTAGATTGGAGATTGGCCCACAAACTTAGCTATCGCACAGCACAAACGAGGTTTGCCAGCTGATAATAAATTGAGGGATTCAATGACATTGACGCTGCCTCTTACTATGGAAGCCCCGATGAAGAGAGTGCACCAACACATCTTGGTAGAGGAAGATGGGATGTGCACCAAGGCAGAGTCCGATACAAACAACGATGTCGGACAAAACACCCTCAGTAAAAGTTAACACGAAGGACCAACCAAGTAAAAAATCTTTGCCCAACTGGGGGCAAAGTGGGTTGGCAGGATTGACCAACTTTTTCTAACAAGTCTTTGCCCGACTAGGGGGCAACAAAAAAGGTTGGCAAGTTTGACCAACGCTTTTTTCATTCTTTAGCCGAGATAAGGATCTAAGCTTTAGAAGGTTGGCAAGTTTGATCAATATCTAGTCCATCAGCCGAGATAAGGATCTAGGCTGACGGAAGTTTGGCAGGTTGGGCCAAACATATCCCGTTCTTCAGCTGAGATAAGGATCAAGGCTAAAGAAGGTTAGCAGGTTTGACCAACACTTTTTCTTCCTTTAGCCGAGATAAGGATCTAGGCTCAGGAAGGATGGCAGGTTTGACTAACACTTTTTTCTTCCTCTAGCCGAGATAAGGATCTAGGCTCAAGAAGGTTGGCAGGTTTGACCAACAAAATTTTTTGGATTCTTCAACCGAGATGCATACCTCAGCTAAAGCAGGTTGGCAGGTTTGACCAACAAATTTTTGAATTCTTGGACCGAGATGGTTATCTCGGCCAAAGCAGGTTGGCAGGGTTAGTAAGTCTGCTCAGCGAGACACAGAAAGAACGACTCGCCGTACGATTGCAAACTCGAAAGATGTATACGTTGAAGGAAAAAAAGTAGGGCTATTCAAATTTTTGGCATGATAGCTGTAACAGGAGAATGGGGCTAATGGGGGCACGCCACCTGTTCTAGGGGTAACGTCGTATCAGACATGCCAGATTAGTGGAATGACGTGCTGAGCAACTGACAAGACTTGTTGGGACTGAACGAGTTGTGAGACTGAACAACTTGAGCGTTTTTAGCTCAGCTAGAGAAAAGTAATCCCAATCATGTTTCGCAGATGGAATTAAGGGGCAATTGAGAAGGTAATTTGTATAGCCAAATTGGGCCGAGCTAGGAAGCATTGTTTCTGAATATTAGGCCGCACTAAGAGCCGGGCTATGGGCCGGAATAGGGGTTGATAGCTCGGTCTGGGGCCAGGCTGGTTAGCTGTGACACTGAGGCTTGGACCTAGCTGTTTAAAGGAAGTTCTGTAGCAAACCGAGGTAACATCAATGACGAGTGCCGAGCTATGTATAGCTTGGCAGGGTGGCATTCGATAGATCGGCTTCCAATCAAACGGTCCGAATGGTAGGGGACCGAGATAAGGCAGCTTGGTCAGGAATGTATAACCGAACATGAGGGAGTGGCCATCTCACTTGGCTTGCAGTAATGAGGGTGTTTTAAGGATAAACATCATCCTTGGGCATGAGACTCCTAGGAGGACTCTGCTAAGGAGAGTAGAGTTCTACTAGGATTGTGCAAACCATCTCACTTGATTGGTAGTGAGCAGGGTGTGTGATTCCTAGGAGGACTCTTATAAGGAAAGTTGGAATCCTACTAGGATTGGGCCAGATCAAGTCTATAAAAGCTCTTAACAGGACCTATGGACAAGTATCACAATCACAATTCTTACTCTAGAATACAAAGAGCTTATTGTCTATTGTCTGTTGCTGACTTAGGCATCGGAGGGGTTTCCGGCACACACCCGCCGGTTAGCTCACGTTTGTGTTTTCAGGTGGCAAAGCAACGTTGTTTGAAGAAGTGCAAACTTGATCAACAGGATTATACGAGAAGATTATTTCATGCTCGTACATTAATGATTAGCCATACAAAGGGCAGACAAAGAACACAATAGAAACATTATCAATAGCCATAGAGGGAGGACAAGCAAAGGTGGAAAGGGAAAATAACAGAAGAAAATTAATTGTTTTTACTATTGTTTTTGGAGCTATTTGTGTGGTGAGAAAATGATAATCGGGAAGAAAGAAAGCGGTTTTTGTTTCCTTGGGAGTGTATGCCATGATTGTAGCTCTTGAATCAACAACCATCAAAACCACAATATTGGGCAATAAAGCCGGTTTCTTGACTCATTCTTGAGCATCTTGGTTTGGCAATCATCAGTTAAAAAAAGGAGAAATTAGAAATCAGTTAAACTGTTCAAAAATAGTTACATAAAGAAAATTATGATTTTAATAATTAAAATTTGTTATTTCTCCTTCAAAATAATATATATATTATTTGTTTTTAGTAAATCTTTTAAAATTGTGTCAAATTTTTTTACAAGAATAATCTAAAAAGGAGAATTTGGTAATAAATATCTCTTAATGACTTATTTTCTCATAAGATTTGACCCAATAAATTTCAAGTGTCATATTATTAACTTTTATAGATATTAATACCTTTTACAATTATAATACTTATAATTCTTTTACCTCTCATCCTTTGTCATTGTTATTCAATCTCATCTTCAAAAATCCAGTTGGTTGTGGTTTAAAGGTGAGAGACCTCTTTTGGCAATTCAAAAAAAAAAAAAAAGTCACATATTTTTTTGAATTTTTTTGTCTTTAGTAATTTTTTTTTATAAATTATGTCAAATTTTTTTATTTTTTCGATCCGTCTTGTCTATATGAATCTAAAAAGTTTTATTTTTTTTTTTGGAAAATTTGCCCATAAATCCTATATGGGGGAAACTTAAACCATTTAGTCCTGATAGTTTTCTCATGGACCAATTAGTCCTCTTTTTCTGGTAAAATTTATTTAATTGATATTGGTTCCATTTGAGTTTACAT